GCCCGGCAGCTACCATGGGTAGAGTTATGAACGCGTTCACAAGAGTTCGGGAACGGCGCCGCACCAAACAGTTCAAACTGAACCATGTACCATTGTGCACACCGCAGTCGTCCCTTGACAAGAAGATTTTCTTCCCCAACTGGCAGCCTAGGCCAGAATGGAAACCCCGTCGAGGTGTTGACTTTGTTGGTAACGCTTGTTGGATTTTCACGAGCCCAGACGACCCATCCCTTCGTCTTGACGAGATGCAACTGAAGCTTTACCGAAATCTCTCTTTCCAGCCGGTATTCGAGAATGGCGGAATCATTTACAAGCGCGCCAACGACCCTCCGCTTACGTGCATTACGAGTCCAACTGCTTTGGAGACCGCAAAGCCGTATTGCGCGGGGACATACTGATAGTGGAGACCAAAAACCGGCGCTGTGCCAATGCACTATGTCCGCAATGCTCTATATTCTCTTTCGAGACATTCTGAATCTCACTGAAGGGCATTCTTGATGTACTAGGAATATTAGTGCGTTGAGATTAAGCTGAAAAGTACATGGACGAATTTGAACACTGGCGAGGGCTTCTGCTAGACTGATAGTTGATGGACTAAGAAGATGCCAACACATGTACTTTAGGACTCTAGTCGAGAATTGATTCATTTATCCTTGTGCAGCGAGAATAGACGCGACTCATACTCGCATGGTCCTTGCGTATTCAAGAGACAGTAAATTAGAATGAGATGCCCCGGGAATCAGCTCAATATTTCAGTAATAGCATTCAGACTGAGAAGCATGAAAGCGTCCGCGTCAGAGAGCGATCTCTTCCCGCCCGCTGTCGAGATCTCCAAAGGTCTCAAAAAATTAGCGGATGATCTGCCATAGACTTTCAACGCGTAATTGTTTGCAAAGTTCACTGGGGAAGAAAGGTTCGGATGATTCTGCAGTGAATCTGCTTCCCGGTTTTAGACTATTGCTGTGGTAGTCTTGTCTCGGATTGATATTCTGATGACTGATGCTTCGAGCCATAGCCCTAAGCTAGCCCCGGAAACACGAATTAAATGTACCGATGATTGTCTCACATATGTAATTCGCGCTGAATTCGAAGTCTTGGTTGGAGCATTCCCAGTCAAGGTAGAGTAAATGATATGAGGCAGGTAATAATTCAGGCTTATTAGAACAATCACTCATGTTTGCTCACCAGGACCGATCACTCACCGAGAAAAAGGTTTACCGCAACGCCTACACGCCACGGTTGGGTCTTTTGGCGACAGAGCAAGAACTGACGAGCTCTTAGTGTATTCAAACACACATTTAGACTGCTGGAATTTGACCGGCGCAGCTTAAAACCGGCCGGATGGCGACTCTCAGGATCTTCGAGGATCATCTTTATCACCCCCCTCCCTTGCCACTCCATGACACCCTTCATGTCTCCCAGTCGAGAGAGCTTTCCTCCCCCCGCCTCTAGGAAGAAAGGCTCGGAATCCTTCACCTCGATCACTGATGGACTTGCCAAGAGAATCAGTGGTCGCTTCATTCGAGCCGAAGGTAACGCCCCTACCGCAACCATCAGCACCTCGCCATTCGTATATTGGAAAACGCAGGAACTAGTGTGGAAATGGGACCAACGGAAACTCTGCGGTGCGCGAATGAACATGCTGCTCAACTCGTCGCTGCTCCCGCACGGCCAAGCATGGAATGTTCCTGACACGGATAACATCTTCGTCTCTGTTGGACCACTGGGCGTGATTGTTCACGAGCCTGCACATCTTAGAAATCTTGACTGGTCTGAATGTGCGATCGGCGTTTCTCAAGACGAGAAAGGATCTGGTGCTAGAATCATTCTACAGGGCCGCACTAAGAGAGAATCAGGCAAAAGCCTGAGCAAGCTCCTCGTCCGTTTCAAAGACCCGATTCTCCCTCAGCCTCTGCTTCCACCCATTTCTTGGTCAACCGAATTCTGGATGTCAGATTCCGTGGTACTCGACCCACGTTTGGATGAGGGGGAGCTGATCATTGAAGGTCTCCAACTAAATGTCAGTGGCTCAGAAGAATATCTTTATATCGGACTTCCGGGGACGGATTTTGGCGCTCTGTTCAACACACTCATTACTTCATGGGGCACTAGCGAGGACTGTTTTAAGTATTCCTGTGGGTACTTCTGGCTACTTGCATCCATCAGCCCTGTTCACTTGGCTCCAGAAGCCCACGGCTCCTCTTTTCTATTGGAAAAGTATCCCCTCTCCTTTCGCGAGCAGATGAGAGGAGAATCTTGGCTTGTTGCAGCCAAAATTACGCTCAAGCTGCAGAGGCCATCACGTCTCAAGTCGAGGCTCCAGGTCCAGGTTCACGCCATCTCGTCTGGCTGTGTGACCTCAACTCGACGACCTGCCGGCTTTCAATGAGGGGGCTGTAATTGTTTCCAATGAGATTTATCTTGTATATAGCGGTTATATCATCAACACTTTGGGCTTTTGAAGACTATCAATTCAAATCTTCATATATGTACATCCAACCGATGAGGACACTCAAGGGAGCAGAATTGGGAAGAGGGCTTCTATTCCGGGTACACTTATTTTCTGAAGTAAAGAATTCAAATTAGTCGATTCAACGTGGAGCTTGTGAGTCTCTCGGGGGTTAGGTGGGAGAGCCTCTAATGTTTCTGGAAAAGAAAACCTATCTTGTGGAACCTCTTGCTTCATTCAACACTATCTCTCCAAATGTATTCTTTCATTTGCTAAAAGCATCTCAAAGAGCCAATTTCCCTGCTGCACCGAGTCGATGAGCATAGTCCCAGATCCACGACAAGTTTCTCGCATAATCAAGCTGGGCAGAACCTGACGGCACTACCTCGAGACCTACCAATTGATCAGCTTGGTATGTAGTAGAAACATTAGGTGATGTCTTACCGGTCGATGATCTCTTGGTTCCTGTAGAATCACTGCGGTCTGATTGTCCTGTGGAAACATTTCGGAGCCATCGTCTGATTTGGCGCTTGAGCGGATTTCTTTTTCTCCCTTTCACAAGGAGTTTGCGATGTTCACACGTTGTAGGTTGCCGTTTATTTTTGATCGGTGTATGACCAGCATCGCGGCGTTTCCGAAGGATGTGGTACCTTTTCCCTCTCAGAGACTCGGCGCTTCTTCTTATTTGATATTGCTGCCAGTAGGCGTGAGACAGAGCGTTCCAGGTCAAGTCTCGGTTTGATTCCAACCAGGGTAACAGGTTTTCCTCCTCCCAGGTTGACCAACCAACCGTACTATGGGGAGCCATTGCTCAACTGAGCAGCAGACCTCAGGAAAATGTGGCAGTAAGATGCAGTTCAACTGTGAATTATTCTGGCTGAGGATCCTGTGCAGGAGGAGTTACATGTTTATGAAGTTTTCAGTGAAAAGAAGGTCTGTCACATATCGTTTCAAATGGCTAGGGTGCTGAGCGTAATCTTTCACCGCTGACAAGGTTCGAAAAGATCCATGGTTGGGCTCTTGCAGCGTCTTGGCAAGGAAAGAAAAGAAAACAAAAACTGGTGGGCAGAATTTGAGCTGTTGAAAATCACTTAAACTGTTGAGCAAACGGAGAGGTAGCGTTTACTAAACGCTCTGTAGAGTCAATGTTCGATGTAAGAAATAGAGTTTGACAATAGCCCGATCTCAGGGATGGAAATTGAGACTGCATACTGCGAGATTATCTACCTACGACTTGAAATCGGTCGACTAGTGGATATACTAAAGCGAGAGTGAGATACCCTCGACCGGGAGCTTCAGGTCTCGCCAATGTTGTAAAGTTTCCAAAAGATGGGCGTTGCCGAGTCCTCATAAACTCACTGACAAGACAGTTGGCCTATATCTAGACTCCAAAAAAGAATGGTATCCAGGGGACGTCTCCTTTGTCTTAAGAACTATCTTTCTTGGCCCTGCGTTCATTAAATGACGATGGATGCACAGAGGCTGCCACAGCTGCCCTAAAGTGAGATTTGAAGGCACACAAAGTAACCGTACTATATCTGATGTCGGCTATTTGAATCGAGACAATGTAGGCAAGAAGAGCCCGTACTGAGTTTTCATAAACGATGCGGATAAAGGAAGACTAGGTTGACGTATATCTTACCCTACAGATGTGACCGACACAAAATGGGGATACCCACCATGCGCCTCACATATTGAATCTTTTTTCTCAATTTACTGGAGCCGCTAGGATCTTGCTGGCTCGAACGACCCCAGCATGGTCCTGAAATCAAGGGTTCTGTAGATGGCGATGGCTCTTCGTTTGTGGCGTTTGCGAGGGTCAGAGTTCGCTAGCAACAAGGAGTAGCACGTTGCTTGGACGATTGGAGCGAACTGGGCAGCGAGGCGACAGAGGTGAGTCATTCTGAGGCTCTGGGAATTTGTAGTATGTACGTGTCAACAACGTTGTTGTACGATATCGTGGTCGTGTGTTGCGAGTGTCACGGGTAGAGACTCGACGGGCGCGCACGTCCAAGCTAAGATGCTCCCGGCGGATCGGCAACGCGCTCATCCATGGCCACTTTTTAGACCGTTAGATCAAGATGCCGACTTAGCTCTCGGCTTTTCTGAAGAGAACTGGACGTTGCGTTGGTCACAAATCTACGGTGGAGTATACTTTTACCGTAAAGTCTGCTCTGCATCCTGCGGAGGACTTTTAGCGAACCTTACAAACAGCCCTGGCGTTGTTACATATCCAGCATCACTTAGTCAAGTATACATGCAATAAACTACCACGCCCTAACTAGGTACTCCAATCATTATAGTGCTAAGCCAAAAAGCAATTCAAAAGCCACCAGACTTCATAATTCACAGGTGCCGTTCACATTATTGGATTTCCTGACTTCGTGCAAGAGACCGCTCCCTCTGGAAGTGTAAAATTAACTCAGACATGCGGCACCACGGCTGTCCCATGATACCTTGCATAATTTGAGGTACGATCGGTGACCACATCTTTGTCTCGGAATAGCTTCGAAACCCTCTAGATTTTTCCAGCCATGCTGCATGCCGTCATTTATTGAGCTAACCCTGGAAATGACTCGTGTCTCGTATCATGATCTCCAGCAGGCTTCTCATAAATCGCAGTGGTATTGCTCTCTTGTATCTTCGGCGGAATTTGGGGGTTTTCCATAGGCGCGTCTACTGAAGCTGCCCGTTTACCACTTGGTCGACGAATGAAAAATGTCGTGGCCCCGGCTATCGCAATAACTCCGATGGACACCCCGACACCGACACCAACTTTCTCGTCGATGGAAAGATTTCGTGATGAGTCGGATTCAGACGATGGGTGGTCAAGTGCACTCAAGGTCATCGTTGAGCTAATCTTTGGAGTTGGTTTGGTCATAATTTTGGTTGGCGTGAGTGGAAAAAGGGTTGTCGTCGTCGAGGCGGAAGTTGCGTAGATGTCAAGAGGCACAAATACCTCATCCCCCATCTCACAACAGTCGTGCGTGTCACCGCAACACCAAGTCTCAGAATAATCCGTGCCATCGCAGGGCGTCATTTGTGAATTTCCCGTTTGTAAGTCGGTGCCTCCCTAGACATTTTGTTATCCATGGGACTGCTGTCCAAATTACCATCTGGAAAAAGGGGATTGTCAAAGTAACAAAGGGGTTATTGGTATTCACGAACCTCACAGACTTTCAAACAGCCAATATCCGGCCAGGATGATAAAGAACACATATCACGCCAGTAAGTGTCGATGGTACCCGAAGACTCATCCCCTTTGATTTTGCAAAGGCCATTGTTGAGACATTCATCAGACTGAGCGCAGCACATGCTGACGGTACCATCCAGACTATTGCATATCTTTGCGTTTTCAGCATCAAAGCTAGTTCCATTGGGCGTATAGCAGGTAACTATATCTGCCATTGAAAGCGATGGGAGTTGGAGTGCCAAGTACAGAATAAAGCCCAAATGCGGCTTAGCCTTTCGATTGATTCCCATGTCCAATGAACAGGGGACTGTTGAGAAAGCATACGAACATGAACTTTCCTTTTGGAAGGGACAATAACAAACAGGGGCTTACAGCTTCGAGTGGATCCTCGCCTGAGCCTGATTGGCTGTTCATTGTGCACTAAATAAGCCAAGAACAATTTCATTATTGTATCATGCTCCAAAGGGGAGCTAGTTCGCCTGAGAGCATGGCACGGGTAGCTTCAAAGTGTGGAATCATAATATTCGACTCAAATATACAATATTGGCGCAGAGAGTAGGTGACCAAAGGCCGAAATAAAAGTTTTGACTCAAGATATAGAGATTGGGCTGGTATGAAAGGAACGCAAGGGATGCAATGAAGCTGGCGCGGACCGGATCTATCGAATAGGTATCCTAAGCAAATAGCTAGAATGGGGCATCGGAGACCCCGCTGCCTTTCTTCTCTTACTCCCATCTCATCGTCTCCAATTTTGCCTCACTGCGCCTTGTCCGAGAGTTTGAAAGTTTCGGATTATTCACATCGAGGTCCTGGCTCGAGTTACGCGATCAATTTTTCGTCCAGAGTGCCTTGTCCCGTTCGTTGCGGCCGACACCCACAAACGCCGATCGAGCCCTGAGCCGAGTATCTTGTATTGCTAGCCACCAGTCTCTTGTCTCGTGTTCCATAATTTCATGCAATTTTTCAAAACATACATTTAAAGCCCAAACCGCGGTTGTAATCGCATTCTGTTATTTTAGAAATTGCTCATTTGAGTAGGAAAACGGGTAGACTTTTCTTATGTGGTCCCCACTATAGAAAGACTTAAATACAATTTGAAGAACCATACACAACATAGTATACACAAAACACCACGTTTTTCAATCCGTTCCGGCCTATGACCCAGCACTGCAACGTACTCATGCTACCTAGAACGTTGATTTATACCCAACCGTTTCTGAGCAGATTGTATCCAAGTGAAAAAATTTCAGGCATGTCAAATGTGTTTTGCTGAAACTCTTCTTCAATTCGATATGGTTGGAGTACGGTACTGCATTAAACTTGGGATTTTCCTGCAGCTCGCAGGCCATTCTGAACCTGCGACCCCAGCAGGTGCAAGTAAGTCTTTTACAGTACATAACCCAGAGGCAGTACAACTGGAATCCTTATCTGAAATAACGCAGATCGCAACTGACTTTACGTGCTGCATTGCAACACGCTCTTTCAACACGCTCCGACCAAACTCTCACTACTGCCCGTCGTCAAGTGGTATAGTCAACCGAGTCTCACAAGTGTTGAGATTCTGCCCAGCGATTGCAGACACACTAATGGATTATTTATATTTTCATATTGATTTGCCCCAAGCGCGCGTTGCGCATGATGAGAAGTGCCGTTATCCACTTGTGAGAAATCGGCCAGTATTAGTCATCTCGCGTCTGTGGGTACCCAAACAAGATCCTATCCAGCCAGGTCTTACGGGACCATGCCGTTTGAATGTTATGTCAAGTTTTTCTTCAAGTTCTCATTAGGTTTTGCCTGAATATGAAGTACCTGAGTTCGTTGTGACTTATATCTAATGTTTTGACGTCCTAGCGGCAATTAATTGCGCCGTATGTGGAAACATATCGCGCTCACTCGGTTTGTCAAGGTCATATATAGTGGTTGCTTCATAAACTGCGAAAGTTGAATTATGAAACCTGTGGTTGTACAATATGTATGTATCAATTGGAACCAAGATAGGTTACCCTCCATGGGGATCATCGCTGGAGGCGAGAAAAACTTGCTCTGGGGGTGAGGGGCTCTTCGAAATCGTATATTGAAGCTACAAGCCGTTTCCGTCAAATTAGGCACGAGAGCAGAGCAAAACCCGTTCTCTGCGGAGCTGGCAGCCATGGCACATGTGTTGAAAATGGTAGCGGAAATCAAAGACTACAAAATTACGTTGCTCACAAGCAACAAGGCGGCGGCGCTCACGCTAAGGAACCCGCGACGACAGTCTGGCCAGGAGCTGGTTTGTCAGATGTACAAGTTGATGAGAAGGTTGCGGAGAAATGGGAATCGGATCAGTTCCCACTGGATCCCTACTAGCGAAGACAATAAGCTGTTAGGTCTGGCTAAAGAACGGGCCAGAGCTGCGACACAAGAAGATTCTCTCCCACAAGAACGCGCCCCGAGGATGAAGTCGACAACATTGAAAATTGCACGGTCCCAAGCAGTCCCCAGCAGTGAGCTACCAGAGAACATAGGAAGACACGCAAAACGAGTGGATGCCGCACTGCCAGGCAAACACACCCGGCAGTTGTATGATTGCCTAACGTGGAAAGAAGCGACTGTACTGGCCCAACTCCGAACCGGCATGGCTAGACTCAATGGGTATCTCAATCAAATTAATGTAGCAGAGACGGATCAATGCGATTGCGGACAAGCAAGAGAGACCGTGGAGCACTTCCTCTTCCGATGTCGGAAGTGGACGGCGCACCGGACGGAAATGCTACAATGCACGCAGACTAACCGAGGAAACATATCCTTCTTCCTGGGCGGAAAACAGGCTTCTGATGATCAGAAGTGGACGCCAAACCTAGAGGCAGTACGGGCCTCCATACGTTTCGCCATTGCGACGGGCCGACTCGAGGCCACTTGAACATACCGACCAACATAGCCCCCACCCCCTTCTTCCGACCCTACTCACCCACCACCTCGTGCTACAGATGGTAGACGCGCTTCAACTGCCGAAGATAGGATGTTGAACACTTGGAGAAGCGCCTTCAAGCCAGCCTACTAACCCACTTCCTAACCACGAGGAACTCGCTGCGACACTGCTTTTTGGAATTGTCATATTTTATAAAGTTTCATATATGGGCTTGCAAGAGACATAGCATATGCAGATGGACATGTACAGCTGATTAGTGATAGTTGCCCTTTCGGCTCAGCCGCCAAGCGTTAATTAATTGTTTGTTTGTTTGTTTGTTTGTTTGTTTGTTTGTTGTAATCAGACTCCATACCTTCCATTGGGATATCGACAGCAGGATAAAGAGGCGTTCAGCGACATGGAAGCAAAGTATTCTGGCCGTAAATCTCCATATGGTACTGTTGTTTTTAAACGCCCTGTGAATATAACAAGGGTGGCGATGATCTTACGGCTCCTGTTGGTCTTGCGGCCATGTTTCAGTGTTTTCCCGTCTAGTTATGATCGCTGTCGCTAGTGCGTGCAGACCCCCAGCCGATTCTGAGAAATCTTGTTTCTATTGGAATATTCCCTCATTATTACTATTATTATTATAGACTCAAGAATTACGTACTCATCAGTTAATACAACTTGCCCCGGAAACCACGAGCTGAATAGCGCGCACATTTACTCGGATCAGTTATGCAGTCAGAATCAACTGCTACGAGATAGCCATTGCAACTCTGAGCGAGGCTTCTCTATGCAAGGGAATTCATCTCGCTATATCTTGACAGGTAATTGGAATGACTTCAAATCTTTGCGACAACATCTGGACTTCCTCTCTCCTGCGCTTGGAGACTTTGCTACCAGCTCTGCTACCAGCTTTTGTTAGATTTCCTCGGCCTCGCTCGTCTATTTTTGTTCCGCGGATTGAAAATGAGATGCACATTCGGAACTCCAATAGCTGGAACTTCGTTACTATCTAACAGAGTAGCCCATTTGCCGTGTCTTATGTTTGGATTTCTCATTTGCTCTGTTCTTGACCTTCTTTGTATTGAGTCTATTAGTTTCGTATTGTATCGAATGAAATTTTGCTTTGCGATTTTAGATTAAGGATTATTCATGAATACTAGTTCTATGACCAACGATGCATGGCTTGGTCAGATGTGATCAGGAAGTTAAATGGATTCTGGTCAATATCAAAGTGCAATTTAGCTACTGTATTCGTCGATTCTGAGCGCCATGTATGCCATCGTATACTTTTGCTTGCGAACAAATTAATCCTTTTTGTTGATACGAAAGGTCTGAATACGACGAAGCCTAACATTCCACATTACTACTTAATAAGAGACATCCGCACTCGTAATCAGACTACAGTTTCATCTTGATAGTAAAGCAACACCAAAATATCATATTGTATCTAACTTAGATCGGTATTTGACTTACATTCAAGCAGACTATCTTTCAACTTCCTCTTTCTAAGAAAGCATATATGTATTGGAATCAATTGATAGATACATTTTTGAAAAGATGGATATAGACTCTGTTATCCTTCATTGATTCATTCAACAATTGGCATTCGTCACAAGAAAGCCAGTAATCCCACTGCGACCGCGCCCATGAAGTATTCCACTTGAAATAGGTCTGATCCCTCTTCTTCAGCACCACACGTAGTTGATCATCGCCCGAGAAGCATCCACTTTCAGCTCTACAAAGCTTGCATAGAGTATAGATATTGATTCGTCTCTTTGCTGGGAGGAAAAATGACAATGGGTCGTATGGACATATGATGATATTGTATCGCTGATAGTCACTTTCCAGACAGGAGACACATGACCAAGTAATAGTACCCTTCATTTTTGGGATAAGGCTCTGGAGAAGCTTTCACTGGGATGATTCACTTGATAATACGCATCCGCCTTAGGAGTCGAGTAGTCGAAGTAGCCAGCGGTCAGTTATAGCAGTATGTGGGAAAAGAAAGTGCCTGCACTAGCAATCATTCGAAGAATTCTTGTCGATAATGCCGATCGTTTTAAAGGGATTTCCGCTTACTCAATTACAAAAAGCAGATAGTGGATCGCCAATCACGTCACGCCAGACAGCACCGGGACCGTTCATTCCATCTGGGTGTGTAGTATTCCTGACTCACAGAAAGTGCTGGTCGAATCACAAAATTGGCGCAGTTGCAATCGGAGGGCAAAGAGCTGGCTCACCCATGGTTCACAGTAGTGGTACGGTGACCTCAGAGAAGTGAGTCAGAATGAAGGTCCTCAGCATTATGCTGCGCGTGCGAAAGTGCCATGGTGGAGGAATGTGGTCAGGCCATTGGTCTATTTTGAAGAGGCCCGTCGAATTGCGTGCGGCTTC